ACAACAAACAAAGAGGTTCAGCTATAGATGTACAAACACTCTCATGTTAATGTCCTCAGGTCCACTAGATTTGTTTGCTGGTAAGGTCTTAATCATCTCAGATACCTCCTTTTCGGTTACAATGACATTTGTTATACTGTTAACACAGCGATGGCTAACGGGTGGCAAAGTCTTGCCGCCATCATTAACATTTGAAACAGATACAAGATATTCATTTATTCCAAATCTGTAAAAACTGAAACCAAATCTGTAAAAACTGAAGATGTATCCCAGAATCATCAGTTACAAGAGAGGGGTGTGTGTGGGGAGAGGGGCGGGTCCCAATGTGTGTCAACAAAAATTGAAGATCATCCAATAACCACCTGATTGAGTAGGCTGAGGTGATAAATAGTTATCAAAATTGGACTAACAGTTTTCTTTGGCTATTGTTTTCAGATTATTTACTTTATTCTTTTGCTTTTTTATCTGACCAGAGATCGAAATGACTTCTCTTTTCTTTTAAGAATTTACGAGGGGCGTTGAAAATGTAAACTATATTTTTGATGTCCAATGTTTGAAAAGCTTTCATTTCATTTTGAAGGCATCATTAGCAAAGTCCATTGGGATATAACACTGAGTTTGGTTTTACGCCGCTTTTAGCAATATTCCAGCAACATCACGGCTGGGGACTCCAGAAATGGGCTTCACACATTGTGCCCATATGGGGATTCGAACCCGGGTCTTCGGCGTGACGAGCCAACGCTTTAACCACTAGGCTACCCCACCGCCCCTGGGATATAATATTTCTTTAAAAATTGCAGAACGTGAAAAAACGACCTGTCATTTGGTACCTCTTGGATAATGGTATGCCTTCAGATAATATCATATAAATTATGTTCAGTATAGTATTGGATGACTACCCGTCATAATCATCATTCAAAGATTTGGATTGTTTGATTTATATTTAGACGGGGCATGTTTTTTAAGGACATCCCCATTTTAATCTTTCAAAGACATTGTGTCCAGATATACAATATATTGAGAGCTGACACTTGTGTAACCATTCACTATTTAGTTTGAACCCTTGGCATCATATATGAATAAGTGAAAACATTAGAATAAGTTATGTCCTTATGATTACCTCATCTGAAATGAGGGTGGGTAGTGTCTCCAAAACAAGTTCTTTCAGTAAACACGAAGCGGGGAGTCACTTGAACAAGTGATTGTAGTTTCAAATTGCCTTTTTCTGCACTTTAATATCTCATTTTGATTCTAGCGGACTTCTACCAATCTCAAACATACAAAATGTTTCTTGCACATTTTGAACCTAATAACTGACATTCAATGTGGTTTTCGTAAAAACAGAACTACCACTGATCACTTAGCGCATTTAGAATCATTTGTCAAAAACGCTGTAATTAATAAACAAAATGCAGTGTCGATCTTTTTCGATCTAGAAAAAGCATACGATACAACATGGAAATCCGGTATTTTAAAAGATTTACATGACTTTGAATTGAGAGGCCGTTTGCCTCAATTCTTATCCAAATGTTTAACTGACATTTAATTTTAAGTCCGAGTTGGTTCTACCCTGTCTGGTCATTACAGTCAGGATCAGGGTGTCCTACATGGCAGTAATTTGTATGTCACATTGTTTAGTATAAAGATTAACAGTTTAGCAAAGGTTTTAAATAATTCAATTGATAAACATATGTTATATTTGAGATTACACTTACTCAGTAAAGAACAGATTCTAGTACTTTTGGGGGCGTTGAGTCCCATCCGGGATTCGAACCCACACCCTCAGAGTCAGGCACCTAATCGCCAGCACACAAGATAAAAAGTCAAACAAAATGGGGATCGTGAGGCTGGAACATAGCAAAGCAAATTTGCATAAAAAATAATACATAAAAACAGCTGCATTTGTATCATATTCTAGGTGAGACTGACTACTTTTTGAACGCCCCTCGTAGATATACCCGTTAGAACGTTAGACCCCCCACCCCCACCTCTACATGCATGTAAGTGTGTTAGATATAATAATAATAATGTGTCCATTTATATAGCGCCAAACTCCACACTAGGTATGCTCATAGCACTAACAATCAAGGCACCACATTATTACCCCGGATAACCCAAGATGCCTAACAGGCACTAGAAGGTTATAGTCATATGACTTTTTTCCACCATTTTCCTGCTGGGTGAACAGAGACAATTTTGAACAAACTCACTTGCCTAAGGTGAGACCACATGTGTCACATGTGCTTCGTTGTGGGGCAGGACTCAAGTCCTAGAAACTCTCAGGAGTCAAGCTGCCAAACACGGTCACCCATCCAAGGACTCTCCGAGCTCGACGCTGCTTAACCTCACCGATTTCTGACCTGAGCTTTAAGCACAGGACCACGCGCCACCACGTTAGAATTTTCCCTCTGTAAATGTTTACATATTAAAACAGATATTTGCCAAACTAACATGATACAGAGGACATTTGGATATATTTTATATATATCAGTACGAATATCATTTTTCGTCATTTAGCTCAGAGCACCCTTGATACTATGGTTGTTATATTTTCCATAAGTATTTATCAATCAATTTATCTGTTCGCCCAGTTCATCTGGTGTTCGCACATCGTTCCAACGCACCTGGGTACTACTTTTAATCAACATTTGTCAATTCTTTCTTGAGTTATCGCACTAACAATTTTTATACCTGCAAAACCCTCGGATTTTGCTGTGACCTTGCAAATTATCTCAAGGTCACTAAATTCAACTGGTGTCGGGGAATCTCGCCTCGACACCTTGGTAACAAATTTTATCAAAATCAATCATTTCTTTTTTAGTTATCACCCTAACAAGCTTATATGATGTATGGAATGCAACGAAAACCGAACACATGCGTATTTACGAATGATTAAAACTGTTATTACAATTTACGTAATATTTATTACATTTTACCGTAACTAAAATTATTACAATTTACGTCAATTTTTATTACAATTTACGTTTCTATTACAATTTACGTCAAGTGTGTATTTTAAGATATTTGATGCGCAGATACAGCCGATATTACTGTATGGGGCAGAAATCTGGGGAATACATAAATTTTATGAAATTGAAAAGGTTCATCTAACAGCTTGCAAACGTTTTTTGAATGTCAGCCCTCAAACACCTACTGCTATTGCATATAGCGAGTGTGGAAGATATCCTCTCTTTATAAACGCATTGTGTAAAACTTTAAAATATTGGTTAAAGGTTATTCATATGCATCAAGATAGAACCCCCTTGAAAGTGTACAAAATGCAAATGTATTACGATAACTGTGGCTATAAGACATATGCTTCATATATTAGAGAAATACTTTTTTCACACGGATTTGGTTACGTCTGGATGTCTCAGACAGTTGGTGATGCAGCTTCATTTGTAAATAGATTCAAGACTGTTGCAATCAATATTTTTTTTCGAATCATGGAATTGTACATTGAATAACAGTTCACGATACCGTATTTACCGAGAGTTTAAAAGTCTGTTAACTCCAGAAAAATATTTATCATGTATCTTGGACAAAAAGTTTCGAAATATTTTGATCAAATTTAGATGTGGGTTATTAAGGTTAAAGTATAATGAGGGAAGATGGTTAAATGTTGAGGTTGCAGAACGTAATTGTCCATTGTGTAAGCTGGGTGTGGAAGATGAGTATCATTGTATTTTTATATGGTGAATATAACTCCCTTAGATTAAAATACTTGCCATATGTATATCAGAAACAACCAAACTACTATAAATTTAAGTCCCTGTTATCAACAAATAATGAAACACTTTTAAGAAATTTGTGTAAATATATTTTCATGCTTATAAAATCAGAGGGTGGGACAACTTAGGAATGGCCAGCGAGTCCTAACTTGACGCATAGAAGGAAGCGAGCTTCAAAGACATAATTTATTTCATTGGAAAGATCTCGAGGAGATGTACCCAAAAGTTCATGTGCCAGTGCGCTCACGTGTTCATAAGCTCACAAATTGGCTCTGAAAATGCATTTCTGCAGAAATTTCCGGCAGAATTTATTTTTTCCGCAGAAATTTCTGGCAGAATTTATTTTTACCACAGAATTTTCTGGCAGAAATATTTTTCCCGCAGAAATTTCTGGTAGAATTTTATTTCACTACCAGAATTATCTTAATTGAAAAATATTAGACACCATTTTAGGATACTCAATATGGACTTTCTTTAAATGATGTTATTTTCTCCTGTAAACAACTTCAAGTGGGAGGGATAATGGTTCCCAGAAGTAGATCGCCGCACAAATCTTACAAGGCATTTTTAACATCTTATCAAGACGAAATGAAAATAAAAATAATATGGTGATTTCTTTATACATCCTTTATTCACGTTCTGTATTACATGAGTTTCACTGGACAAAGTTACAGTCATTTCATCTCTGACATGAGCCCTGTTGTCTTTGAGTGCCAAATGTTTCAGAGATAGATCCTCTAGGAGAAATGTGTGTACAATATATATATAAATAAATGTCAGGGTTGAGATTGCGATCTGATCGGATATTCTACCTTCGCAGTCTTTACCAGTATCCTACTAGTAGAGATTGAAATCGGATCCTACCTGTCAGATCCGATTCTACCAATACAATTTCAATTCAACTGGTAGAAACTCTGATTGTTCTGTAGGCAAACAACACTTTATTTGCTGAACAATAATATTCATTTGTTATGCATGTTATTTAAAATATGAAAAATGTAAAGAAATTCAAATAATTCCATATCAATGTATCTCACTTTAATACAAATTGCATTAATTGATAATGTCCTAATCATGACCATTTTGTTGATACAAACTATGGTTCAACATTCACATATGAAAAATCATATGTAGGATCAGAATGGAGCTTCCACTGGTAGAGATCGTAATTGCATAGGTTATTCTATATAATAAGTTTCTACCAGTACAGACTCCGCTTGCAATCTCTACCCAGGCATATATATCATCTCTCTATATATACATTGTATATATACTGTATAGTTTAGTTGAATGAATTCATGTATTCAAGTCATTGAAGGCTTAATATTAGCATATATTCTGAACAACATGAAAAACACACTCAGTCTTTATTTATAAATATAAATGCATTCAATATGTTTGGACACATACTAGATACATAAAAACAATATTTGATCATTTATATATTCCTAGAAATGTCACCAGCAACACGCTTAACATGACCAGCGTACCGAGCTGAGATGCCTAAGCGACAATGTATCACTGTTCAAAGTGACAATACCCGAGAAAATCTAATTGTTTTCACACCTGACAATTGGTTGTTTATGGGGCTGTCCCTATAACCGGCCACCGTCCCGGTTCGGTTGTCCCTGGTGGCCACAGCAATTAACGATTGCGTAATCCAGAGAGCGGCCACTCAGGGAAAACACCAAAACAATGTCGGGCGGTGCCGCATGGACAATACACGTCTTTTGGGTTCTATCCAGTACGTTTTGTCTGTTCAGTTAAACACCAGATGATGATATTTTGTTGATTGTAGGAAGACATTAACAGAGAACTTTGTAATGAAACATACATTGGGCCCGCACATTTAAGTTTCATATCTTTAAAGTTATAACTTTATAAATATTCTCTTTCATGTAATCAAAATACTTTTTTTCTAAACGATGCATAGTTTGATAGTTTATCCATGTATATTGTGGTATTACACAGATATGATATAAAGCAGCATGCGCAAATATATTTAAGTCATATGACTGCACCCCCAAGTACTTACAAAGTCGTATCGGAAATATTTATTGTCCTGCAGCAACAACAGGTGTGCATTGTCTGCCGAACTCAAATAACAATATAAACCCGCATACCATGCAGATTTTATGTGGTACAGGAAAAGGTAGGCAACGGCTCAGTGTCTAGTGTTGTCACAAAAATTTTCACATGACTGAAATAACTAAGATACGAAAAAAAAGAATTATATGCATGAATGGGAGGATGGGTGATTTACGATAAGGGTTACTATAATTCATTGCAACTGACAAATCTCAATTAGAGAGGGGTAATCATAATTATCAAAGGAGCAGGTGCCCACTCTTTGCACAGATCAGACTTTACAGGGATTAAGTAAAGCAACATGTAGGCATGCATCAAAGGGATTAACAGCAAGAACTATATAACATGTCATGTATTCAACAACAACTATAGAATAGTGGTAATAAAGCAGTGACAACAGGAGGAAGTCAAATGTCCAAGAGGTAGAAAATATACATGGCTGGAATGCTCTGCTAAGTTGTTGCTATCAGTTCATTGTATGCAGATGGGATGAGATATCCTTCATCTTTGTTAATGGAGGGTTTTGTGTCCGTGGATTTGAACTGCTTAATCCATGTTGATGTATATATAAGTCTGCTACAGCTCCTCAGTCTCACTTGACAACGGTATAAGAATCTATACTGAAACGCCGCATCCTATATAATAAAGACGTTGTCATCCATGAAGCGAAAATGTGTTGAAAGAACGATATGAATGTAAGTCACTGACGTGAGGCTCTAAAATCAAATGGTGGTGTGCAAATCATATGCGTTTAATTCGTGATTGGAATATTTTTTTTATTGTATGTTTCCTTTCACACTCGTATTACGGTGGGCAGACAATAAGCCCACTGGGATAAAAAGCCCTCGGACAAAACCCCCCTAGGCTAAATGCCCCCAGGACAAAAAGCCCTTGCAAATTTCAACCCATAGGATAAAACACCCTCGGTGTATATTTTGAGTTGACAGGTGATAACATGATGTTTTCTAAGCAATTCCTCCCACTGCTGATAGTTGTTACAGGCTCCTCAGTGACGATGTTGTTATTTAAACAATGGAATGAAGTCTGCTAAATGTTGTTTCAGAGAACTGGCTTAAATTGGTCACTTCCTCTTATGTTTGATTTCGTTGGGCAGGTACTCATTGTGGTATGTCAATGAACATGGTGTTTATTAAGATGGTCTATTAAGATGGTCAGCGCTATTATTATTTAAATGAATTGCTGATTTCCTGCTACCTTCTTTAATGTTTGGAATCCAGCGGCCGGCTATTGGTGACGGTGTTCCCAGCACTCGCTTTTGACTGGTATAGGACACAATATTAGACTGGTATGAACTGTAGCACAAGTATCAACTGCACAACTGCATTATGTGCATGTCGATTTACATTTGTGAAGTATGTGCTATTCCCTCGCGTAATGGGTTTCCGTGGTATTAAGAAATTTACGACTATGAATATGATCGCTCATATTGCAAAGTCATATAAACATAATATAGTGTTAGACGACATACCTTTGTATCATTTAATGTCAATAAAACACTTTTTGTCATTCTGAAGTTCATTGTTGTCCGTATCGGACGACAGGCGGCCATTGTGCACAACTTGGTGACGTCGTATGTTTCCGTGGTATTTCCTTCAGATCAAATTGCGCACAGCACATGTCACAATCTTACACATTGTCAACAGCCGATCCGAGAGTGTCAATGTAGGTTTACAGTAATATCGAAGTTGTTAAATTGTAATACAGTAAACGATTTTGTAGAATTAACACAATAGTCACATTTCTTCAGCATAAATAGACATAAAGTTGCATTAGGTTTAATAGTAGATGACTGTACGTACGCAAATTGATGAAAGTCTGAACATATTTTGCTCAGAGCTGTGCCGATCAACTGATGAACGTAAACAATCGATAGGTGGCGCGATTTGGCGAGTGGCTCGTGAGAAATTATGTCATTAGAAAATACCACGGAAACCTAAGTACCACGGAATCATATGACGGCATGGTTACATATGCTATTTAATGTTATATTATATTGTATTGATGTGGGAATGAAAAAAAGATTTGTTGGTATTCTATTACATCTCTTCATTGAGGACCTTTGAGGGCTTTTTGTCATGGAGGCATTTAGCCTAGGGGTGTTTTGTCTGAGGGTGTTATGTCTTTGTGGGCCTATTGTCCTACCACCCGTATTACAACACAAATCATAAAATAGATAAGATCTATATTATGATCTCGGTAGCAACAGCATGGAGAGTGTTGTTCAGTGACAAAACAATGTGAAAATACATCGAGGACACTTACGCAATGGATTGATAATATATCTAAACGATATCAAATACAGAACATCATATAACATATAGTGTAGTAGTTATGTACTAAGCATGTGTTTCAAGAGGAGGTGCTGCTTAAAACTAAATCCATGTCTACATCTATTAGCCATTGTCAGACAGGCTTTGTCGCCACTGTAGTAGTCAGGCTGTCGAAGACGAAGTCCATTTCTTAGTTAGCTGTCCTTATTATTCTGATCTTCGGTATGATCTGTTTAGAAAAACTAGTATCTTTTACCCACATTTTGCTCAGTTATCAAACACTGAACAAGCTACACTCCTCTTACAAACAGAAATTATTGTTAATCCACTGGCCGCTTTAGTTAGCCGTATGTACCGGCGTAAGCTATCATCCCTATAAATTTCTTTCTTTTTCCTTGGGTCTTTCATATGAGTGATACTCCTTAATGTTTTAATCTTATATTTTATACATTTTATGCACATATTGTCTAGTGTGTCTCATTGGCCATCTGGCCTGGTGTCTGTATTTTTCTATGTCTTTTTACCGTTGCCATTTTTTGACATGTACATTCACGTGACACAAAAATAAACTATTTTGTCTTGCCTGTCTATAAATATTTTAACTACCAGTCCTACGTTCTTTGAAATATATTTGGACTTTGGACCGTAGCCTGGGATGTTGATACGCTTTACAACAGATTACGTGAACACCCAGTGGGGCGTGGAGGGAGGTGTGGGTGGTCGTGTACACCATTGTGTTTGTTTTGCAACGCCAATAACCTTTCTCAAAAGATGTGCAAAAATGGTGTGTGTATGGTGTAGTGTGCAGATTAGCCAAGAAGAACGCGTTGTTCATCCTGCAAGACCGTTCAGGCAGACGGTGAAAATATCTCTATTCGTTAAGTCGGCAAATCACAGATACATGTTATTGTGAGTACTTGATAACTGAAGCAACGTTTCTGTGTAGGTTCTCACACCATGTTCAAGCTAACGGTGACAAAAACCAAGTGATTAGAATGATCGAATGCTGTGACAAACATCGTGTACTTGAAAAACAAGGGGTAGATAATTGGACGAGGCCAGGTGGGAAGTAAGAACAATAAATAGCACAGCCATGAAGCCGATAAGCAGGACGGATTAAGTTGTAAAAACAGTCATAAAAAACGGGTGCTGATTGATAAAGTCTATAGCGTGGTCAGCCATTCGTAGGCTATGGTATGTAGTACCCTTCGTCAGTAACTACATTCGCAGCGCTCGTCACACGTTGCTTTATGCAATGAACAAGAAGTTGCTATTAACAAAATGATTAAGAAGCCGCATGCTAGAATGCCAATGAAACATACAATCATAATTGCTGTTCATAACGTTGTTGTATAATATGTATATATATACAAGCTACTTTAACCGACCTTGTACACCTGAAACATAGTGTATCGAATATATGTAACACAGAACTGAACCAAAACATATAATGTATTGTCTAGTGTCATGATGATATGAATTGTTGAAATTCCTCAAACCGGTCTTGGGGGTAATAACAGAAGTGTATATAGTTTTAGTTTCCTGATCATGAATCAGTTATTGTCATTCTGATGCAAATACCCCAAGCCCAACAAGATCAGATCCAGATCAGTTGATCACACTGATTGCTAATTACCTAAAATAAACAAGAAGTGGCCCACACGCAGGTGTCTCATAAATTATCTGATACAGGTGAAAGGACGGTCAAATACACACTCTCCCAAATAATGAGTCATTACGAGTATTTACACAGGATGGTATTTGTTGGGATAGTTTATTACTACTGTCTAGAACACATGTTTTCTACCCGCATTACGTTATTACACAAACTTTTCACAACATAATGCAGGATTTGAAGAAGTGAAACATTTCAAGTTTTATACAATATGTATATACATGCATCCCTGTCTCAATTCACAACATAATAATATTGTAATCAGAACCCTTGACCTGAACACTCACCACTTGCCTACTACCTATGGAAGATTCGTTCTGTTAGTTCATTTCCGGGAAGACGACAACTGTGATGTTTGAAACAACAAATCAGTGGAGCATGCAAGGATTTTCAAGTCGACTGTCTCTGGAGAACAACGGAGGTTCTGTGTGATTTTAAGTACATGGATGATTCTAAATTGTTAACCGGTAAATAAATGAAATACTCCCTCGAACCATTATTTACACCCCTTAAAATACATATGACATTTTTATCCGTGACCATTTTATCGATAACAAATAATTTATATACATTTGAATGTCATTATTCAACTGTAGAAATATATAGTTTAAGTGCAGTTCTTATCTAGGCACATCCATGATATCCGCGATGCAGCATTGCGTTTGTGACTCACTCTAAACATGTATCCATCTATACAGAGATACCTTCCTCCACGTGAGGTTGGAATGAACTTGTACTCTAACTGCTGATTTGCCATTTCGAAAGTAATGCATTGGATTGCGCGGATAAGCAGGAAATATACCCATAATAATTAGTGAGTAAATATCAACAAATAATTAGTGAATTAAAATCAGTGTCAAAGGCAATCAGTAGTAGTGAATCAATGTCAATCAGTTAGTCATTTTTTAAAATAAATCAATGTCAATTAATAAGCAGTGAGCTGAAATCATGTTCATATTACAATGTGAGTTGATATCATGAAAATGAACACCGATTTCGTTATGCAGTTCAGTTTATAGTATAACCCACCTCACTAATCCATTAAAACAACATGAGTCTACCTCGGCGAAACATTAACACTGTAATACCAAATGTCGTCTTAAGGGAAGACACCTAATCCTGATTCGATTATTGTAAGACTGTTTGAAAAATAGCTTCATTGTGGTTTCTAGAGTACACATCTGCCATATACAATGCAGTGTTCCATTGTACAGTTCAGTGACTATACAAACAATAGAGATACATAAACCATACCAAAGGGACAACGGCACTCATGTGAGAGATGAAATGAATGCAACTTAGCCCAATGAAACTCATGTAATACAGAGTGTGAATAAACGATGTATAAAGAAATAATCAAATTTTTTTATTTTCATTTCGTCTTGATAAGATGTTAAAACATGCCTTGTAAGATTTGTGCGGCGATCTACTTCTGGGAACCATTTCCCCTCCCACTTGAAGTTGTTTACAAGAGAAAACAACATCATTTGAAGAAAGTCCATACTGAATTATCCAAAGATGGTGTCTAATATTTTTCAATTAAGATAATTCTGGTAGTGAAATAAAAAATTCTGCCAGAAATTTCTGCGGTAAAAAAAAATTCTGCCAGAAATTTCTGCGGAAAAAATAAATTCTGCCAGAAATTTCTGCAGAAATGCATTTTCAGAGCCAATTTGTGAGCATATGAACACGTGAGCGCACTGGCACATGAACTTTTTGGGTTCATCTCCTCGAGATCTTTTCAATGATATAAATAATGTCTTTGTAGCTCGCTTCCTTCTGTGTGTCAAGTTAGGACTCGCTGGCCATTCCTAAGTTGTCCCACCCGGCCTTCGTAGGTCGATGCTCATGCTGCTGATCACTGGATTGTCTGGTCCAGACTCGATTATTTACAAACCGCGCCATATAGATAGAATATTGCTGAGTGCGGCGTAAACCTTAACTCACTCACTCACTCATGGTGATTCATGGTGACTGTCTGGTCCAAAATCGTTTGTTTACGAACAACTGTTATAGTATAGTATAGTTGTAATAGTGCTGAAACAAATACATACTCACGATATATATAGTCAGAACTATTCAATCGATTTATTATGGAACTGGACATGGCTTTGTTACTTCTGTGTACTATACCAGAATTTTGGAATTTTAACCCCGAAAATATATTTTAAATTGTTTGATGCACAAATCCAACCGATTATGTTTTATGGGTCTGAAATTTGGGGATTTCAACGTCATGAATGTCTAGAGAAACTACACCTTTTAGCATGTAAAAGGTTTTTAAATGTAGCGCAAGCAGCACCAACTTGTATGGTTTATGGAGAATGTGGTAGACATCCGATATATATAAATTCACAAATCAGATGTTTAAAATATTGGTTAAAGATCCTTGGAATGCACGAACAAAGAATCCCCAAACTAGCTTATAACATGCTTGTACATTTAGATGATAGGGGTAAGACAACATGGGCGTCTCATATTAGAACTTTATTTTCTCATGGCTTTGGATTTGTGTGGCTAAATCAAACAGTTGGTAATATTAACCTATTTCTTAAGCAATTTCGAGAACAATCTCTTAGCATGTATTATCAAGAATGGCATTCCTGTCTAGACAATAGTTCAAGATACCAGTTGTACAGATAACATAAGAGCTTAATTCAACCAGAACTATATCTATCTGTATTGACATCTAGAAAAATCAGACGCACACTTGTCAAGTTTCGATTGGGCTTGTTAGACTTATCAGTAAATAAGGGCAGACGATTTTCAATAGAGAGACGTTTAAGGATATGTCCATTATGTAACTCGGCTATAGAAGATGAAATTCACTTCGCTTTTGTATGCCCACATTATGCTGATTTAAGAAAAAAATATATCCCAAATAATTACCTGTTAAAATATCCTTCATCTGCCTTTGCTTCCATTCTATCTTCCAAAAATGAAAATGTAATACGTAATCTTGCGCTTTATGTAAAACATGCTGTTTTCCTTAGAAGCAATATCTTATCTGAACTGTAATTTCTTTGTGAAATGTCTGTAACATGTGCTGTATATATACTTGTATTACTTGTATATGGGCCGGAGGCCTTAAGTACAATAAATATCTTTGACTTTACTACAAAAGAAAGTACACACCTGTTGTTTTGAGACTATAAAAACAACGTAAATAGTTTGCAGGCAATGTTCCAATTGGGTATGATATATCTGGTGTTATTGCAACACGTACACAATGTTTCTGACTTTCTAAATATTACGCTGTTTTCAGGAAATCAGTTTACCAAAGCATCAGGTGTGTACTTTTTTTTGTACGTCAGTATATGTTGGACCCAACGTGTCTGAACATTGCTTGACTCAGATTATCTGTCTAAAATCATCTGAAATGATGAAAGATTCTTATATATAATCGGTTTGGCCACAAAGTTCATGAACTTATTATTTTAAAAATCAATTAATGTATCGTTCTGGCATTTTGGGGGATATCCGCTGTAAAAGCTGCACATTTGGTATTTTCATTTACGCGTGACTAATTATGCTGTACGTCTTGCACGAAATATTAAGTGTTTTTGTCGTAAAAGAGGTTTTTTCTGCGGTCTGAAATAGAGATGATGCCGAGAGCTATATATACTCATGCCAATAATGGTTGTCACCCCCTTAATTTTTTTTAATTGGAGAGGGGTGTGGGGGTTTGGGGTGGGGAGGGGGGTGCCAACCATTATTGGCATGAGTATATATCCCGTTAGTCGGCTCTTACGACAAGCATGGGTAACTGAAGATCAGTTCTGACCCCCATAGATACGACGACAGGAGCTTATGAATCAGTATCAAATAGTGATGCGGGAGTTGGTGTTGCTGACCCTGGAGGACCCAGCTTGAGGCATTGCGGTCTGTCCGTACATAGCTTCTCTGTCTGTAACCATCTGGTAATAGTGAGAGGAAGACTACTCCTTTTTTAAAGTCTCCTTTGGTATAGAGCTATACATATACCTTTGTTATGTAAACAGCCTCCGTGGTGTAGTGGTTACAGCGTCCGCCCGGAGAGCGGAAGGTCGTGGGTTCGATCCCCGACCGCGTCATACCAAAAGACGTTAAAATATGGTATTTGTTGGTCCCTGCCTGGCGCTCGGCACTAATGGGTACAACATGGACTGGTCGGCTCGGAGTCAGTATAATGTGTCTGAGTGGGGTATTCATGCTTCACTGCGGCATGGTATCTCAGTGAGCTAGCACTATAAAACCAGCTTAAATCTGGGCTAGTACAAGCAGCCACACATACACACACATGGACATCGTCATATGAGCGAAATACTCTCAAGTACGACGCCCAATGTCGACGTTTCCCTCACCTCCCTCAGTTTAGTATTGAGACCGGAAGGTATATCAATACTGAAAGAAATAAAAGACTGCGTTGTAATAGATGTGTGGAAGACGAGTGCAACTTTCTCTTAATGTGTCCTTCTTCTAGAAACCTATATACCGAAAAAGTATTAATTATATCGTTCTAATTCTAAGTTTAATACCCTTATGTCGACCAACGGTTGTACCCAAATTAAGAAATCTTGCAATGTATATTTAGAGACCATTCATTATTTATGACTAGGGGGCTAATGATGATTTTAAAGGGGCACCCATTTTGTTGGGGGTAGGGGGTCATTGATTTTGTACATGAGATGTTTAGGGTGTCACTTGCTTTGTACATTTATTTTAGGGGGTCATTCACGTTTTACATGTTTTTCCATAAAACTCATCATCACCAACCCCACAATCCCCCTCCCTTAGCCATAGATTATGAACGGTCTCTTACCATGCAATGTCAGTCCATACAACTCTAACTTGAATATCAACAATATATCGAATTATAACACTTGTGTATGACATGCACATGTAGTTGGGGCCTACACAACAGGAATATAGAGTTGAACTGAATTGAGAGGAAAGCTATGTGTGCTTATCGACCCATCACCAGGATATACTCGGTGATGATTTGACGGTAGCCATTTTGTCCATCAGCGCATCTTGCCACGTGATCACCGAAAGGAACGGACGTTTTGGCAGAATGGGCCCCAGGAACTGTCAGGTTGTAACGTTTTCCTCAATCTCTGAAATGAGTGAGTGAGTGAGTTTAGTTTTACGCCGCACTCAGCAATATTCCAGCTATATGGCGGCGGTCTGTAAATAATCCAGTCTGGACCAGGCAATTCAGTGATCAACAGCATAATCATCGCACTGCGCAATTGGGAACTGATGACATGTGTCAACCAGGTCAGCGAGCCTGACCACACGATCCCGTAAGTCGCCTCTTACGACAAGCATGGGTTACTGAAGATCAATTCTAACACGGATCTTCACGGTAGTCTCTGAAATGAATAAACCCGAGCAACATCAGAATCCGTAAAAGATATGATGCTACATTTGGAATAAGAAAACACATTACGCTACTGCCCCAGATTTGGTCATTGTACTACATTATTCTTATGTCATAATGGTAACCAAAATCAAGTGTTTTGCTGGGGGGTATTAAAATGGACTCCGTCCGTGCGTGCGTGCGTGCGTGCGTCAGTCCGTGCAAATTCGTCTTTTCCGGAACAGAAAATAAAAACGGTATTTCTTCACCAAACTTGGCACATACATAGGTCTGGTGGTGAACTGGTGCTTTTTGCTAATTTTGGATTCCTGGATAAAAAGATTTTTGCGTTTCCCAAGGCAACAAGTTTGATTTCGACTGAAACTGGTATTGGGGCTCTTTTCAGGAGCAGTACATTAAAGCCTTTCAATACTCTCCTGCCATTGTGTGGATATTCAAGAACCTTATGACATAAATCAACAGTACCACTCTATTTCCAGTACTGAGATACCTCAAACCATGGAAGCACTCAGGCAGTCTGTTGTTGATAAAAGCATGCTAGTATATGAATAGTTTACATCTGTATATTTTCGTTAGATCAATGTGAAGAGCAATGTTTATAGTGTCTTACAGATCTGGATTTATGTGTATATGGTTATAATATTTGCCATAACTAGTTGACATATTCATGAAGAGTATTTTACCATTGCGGGGCATATTGATGACTTTGTCCCAAAACTTGGAATTTTATGCAGGCAAGATGATGCGATTGAGATGACGTTCATAAACAATCAATAAATAAACTTTCTTTGTCGCCAAAGTCAACAATGAGTGACCTTGACCTTCAATGTAAACCAGTCCCTGGATATGTCCGTTATGACGTCTCGAAAGTTTTATAACTTATGAAACAACTAACTGTGGTGGACGTGAATCACAGGAACCAACCGAATAAGTACCACATAAGTTCAAATTAGCTAACAAATTGTAATACATTTTTCGTTTAATGAAGTCAATTTAATCACCTGCAAAGGGTACCCTTGTCTCTGTGTACGGCTTTCAACATCATGGCCACCAATGGGATACAGGGAATGGTTGCTAGGCACCAGCCAATGGTAGCGGCGTAGTCAGGATAAACATACGAGTCATATATTGCAGGTGTGTACTGGACGAGGGTGACAATGGATATGGACTGAAAAGGGAAAAATTAGTGCCGTAAATATGCATCGAACTATCGATGGATTGCAATTGTTGAGTCTCCGATAGCAATTAATCGATGGTAGAACCGAAAAACTATCGATGCATCGATAGTATGTGTGACTATCGATAGTTTTGTAATTGACTTCCGTTGATAAATGAGCGGAGCAAAATACAGGATGTTTGGAAGCAGACCTGTAGCTTCATTGTTTTAACTGTTACTTGATCTGGGTTTCAAGCTGCTTGCCAGTTATTAAAAGATACTGAAACTACTTCAATTTGTTTTGTTTTTTATAAGATATACATTCATATGCGAATGACTTCAAATTTGACAATTCAAGGAGAAAAAAAACCTGCTTCAATAGTATCGCAATAGTTGGCCTCAATAGTACACTGGCCCAAAAAAGAAACGCATAGGTGAAAATCCAGTGTTATCAGTGATGCTTTAATAACTTAAATTACACAAAAAGTAATGATAATAGAGCAATAAAAATTCACACAGGTATTGGGACACGTGTATCCAAAAACATACAGTCATTCACAGTGGTATTGAGAGTCTCTGTTTTTTGATGGCACGGTCACAAAGTCAGTATCTGGTGTGACCACCACGAGCCTCAATCACTGCTCTGCATCGCCTGGGCATAGACTGTATAAGACGTCGGATCCGCCGTTGTGGGATTCTTCTCCACTCATCCTGCAACGCATCGACAAGCAGTTGACGTGTCTGTGGTTGCGGCTGTCGGCGTCGTACACGTTGATCCAATTGGTCCCACAAATGATCAATTGGGTTAAGATCTGGAGATTTTGAAGGCCATGTTTGAACTGTAATGTTGTTGCTGGCAAGGAAATCTGTATGCTGTATGCTGTATGCTGTATGCGGTCTTGCGTTGTCATGCTGGAAAATTTCTCTTCTAGCGTCAATTACGGGAATAACATGACGTACCAGGATTTCATCACTTTAGCGCACAACATTCAAATTCCCTTGGACATGCACCAGCTCTGTTCTGTCATTCACAGATATGCCTGCCCACATCATTACACCTTTGCCGCCGTGTCTGTCGACCTCACGAACACACTGTCGAGCATATCTTTCATTTCGACGTCTGTAAATCCGCATCCTGCCATCATGTCGATACAGCATAAACCGCGACTCGTTGCTGAACCAGATCCTCCTCTAGTTCAAGAGGGTCCATGGCCGAACGTTCCTGCTCCATTGAAGACGTGCACGACGATGGTGGTGTCGCAGAACAGGTCCTGTATGTGGTCGCATCGGTCGGATTCCATGCTCTCTTAGGCGATTCCTGATGGTTTGTGCAGAGACTCGACGCAGCCCAGGAACATTGTCGGCGGTGTACGCTGCAGTGACGGTCCGATTTCGCAGATGAAACACCCGGATGAAGCGGTCTTGCGCTGGAGTTGTCACCCTTGGTCTCCCACTCCTAGGACGATCTCTGGTCGAGTTGTGCTGCGTGTAGCGCTGCCAGAGACGGGAAATTGTACTCTGCCTCACGTTTAGATGTCTGGCAACTGATGACTGGCTTTCTCCAGCTTCCAAGTGTCCAATCGCTCTGTTTCTGCTTTCTTCGTTTAGTCGTGGCATCTTGAGGGTCGCATATACAGAATTTCGGAGAATGAATCGCAACAGGACTGCTGGCTTTTATACCCATCAGTATCAAGATTCAGATCCCGTATTTGCACGTGCATCATGCTTTCAGATTTTTCTACATGCAGATTATACGGGGATTTTTTCAAGGTGCTGTGTTTTGGCGAATAATCACCAAAGGTTGTGTTTGCGTGTGTTGGATAATTGTATGGGCTATATTCACACTTAATATTAACATTGACAGTAATTCCATGCCATATTTTTTCGAAACAATCTACTTTGAAGATCAGAATTCAGCTATGCGTTTCTTTTTTGGGCCAGTGTATGTTGCAATATATCGCTATCAACAATAGTTGTTTCCCCCTCAATAGTAACCACTAGTAAAAATGGTACTGTGTTGGCTATATAAAAGATGACAATTTTTGTCTCTGATAGTTCGACTGTCCTATAAGCGTGACAATATGCTGTTTGTTTCCATGTTGATGTTTGTATTTGTTTGTTGTTTAACGCCGCACTCAGCAATATGCCAGGTATGTGAAAGCGGTTTGTATATAATCCAATTTGGACCAGATAATCCAGGGAGCGACATCAAGAGCATCGGTCTACGCAATTGGGATACGATGACACGTGTCAAGGAAGTCGGCGAGTCTGATCAATTCAGTCGCTTCTTACGATAAGCATGGATTAGTGAATACCAATGTCCTATTGGTCATTCTTGATATACTCATGAGTACCTATTGAATAGGGTCGGGTATTGCCCTGATTTAAGAAATATTGCAATACATATTGTGATATGCTGACTGAAAGGTTTCTGCCGAAGTGGCAGAAATTCATAACAGCTCTCTGTGTGCGACATCATCTTCTTAGATGCTGTTACACCATACTACCAGGCCGCCTGTCCCCATTGTGAATGGCTGTGTGCCAATGGTTTACCGATAAATAAAATGATATAGAGCCTTAATGTGGAATGTTTAATTGAGGTATTGCAACAAAGGTTTGAGAACATAATGATAAAGTATAGTAGCAGTATAACATAAGTTTCATGGTCAGTGCTTCAACTAAATGCACTTCAATGCAGTTTGTAATTATCGTTACTGCATGTCGGTGATTCAATAAGATTAAACTCCAATATAAGCATGACTTAACATGAACTATTGCAAAATGAAACAAAAACATGATTTAGGTGAACCACTTGAGTTTACAATCTTATCTGACCTCCAGTAACTAAGATTCTTGACTAGAATGCCATTATACAGTCTCTACAAAATGTATAAGACTTAGACCTTTATGATAAATTGACAACATACGTCTCATTATGCAACAAACAAAAATAACAAATAATGTAAATTGTGAAATGGTCACTCAGAGCCAGAGCCGCTACTGATAAGTAGAGCCACTTATAATGATACTCCCACTTGTAAAATGTTACATGAAACCAAGAGAAATGAAAGCATATTTGGCACTTTTAGAGCACATTTTGTTGCTATCGAAATCAAGGGCAGATAACGTTACTTTTTCATGACCAAACAACTATACCTTACCAGAAGAACTGTGGGCGAGATCGCCATGTGATTTTGAAGAACAATGGAGCTGGTCTCCCTGTCATCAGTTCAATGTCGGCACTGAATCGATTCACTCCTGGAAGTTGAACTATAGTTAGAGCAGATCATTGACTCGTCATCATTGAAGAACATTCTGTTTCCAGTTGTAAAACAATCTTGTAATTCTCATTCTCTTTATTTCCGGTACTGAAAGGCCACAGGCCTGTAGTACAATACATTTGCAAAACAATATCTACACGCACATGTAATACACACGAAGAAGAGAAGATAATCAACTGTAGGTTACATTATGTTCTGAGATATATTCTGTCCTAAACAACATGGCATAGTAAGTAAACATGGACAAGTTTTGAAGTATTGTATGTTTTTTTGTTATTTAACAATGCTTGGAATTTATAAAGGTTTGGATGGACAAAAAAATATTTCTTAATATAAAACTTTCTCAGGGAATTATAAACAGGTGAATAAAAGAAAATGATATACATCTACTATTTTCTTTTTTGACAGTTTTAAATCTTCCACTTTCGATAAATATCATGTAAAGAATATCTCAATCTACACAAGAAAGATACATTTCTGTGTCAAAAATTCATTTAAACATCTTATAATACAAACATTTACTGCAAAGTGATATTTTTTCAAACAATTCTTGCAAATAAATATATTTTAATCTTCTTGTTAGTTCTAAAATTCACTTATCGTCAGAGTCAACATATTGATCGTTCCACACAAAACCAAACCCCTTAGGGAATAGAATATTTCTGACAGGAGAATCCTAATTTGTGTCTTCATTTTATCGACGAGCCTCACCATACTGCAACATTTCTTTCTCAGCCTATAAGAAGGCATCTTCAATAATCTTAACCAGTATGTTATAGCTCTGATATTTGTAAATAAGTGCATCGGATATCTACCGCATTCTCCATACACCATAGTATTCGTCGTATTGGATTTAACACGAAGAAATCTTTTACCTGCTTCCAACTGAATGCTTTTGATATCACTGTAATAATTGAAACCCCAGATTTCAGTTTCATACAATAAAATTGGCTTGATTTCGGTATCATATGTTTTAATGTATTAACGTATGTCTCCAAGTACATTTAATTGTTTAAAGATACCAATCATGACCTGTTGTGCTTGGAACAAATCGTAGTTAACATGTGTTGTCCAAGATAGAGATTCCCAAATATTTGTACGAACTGGTGCATTCTAATTTTTTACCTTTGTACAACAGTTTCTCGTTTCTTGAAAAACGTCCCCCCTGATAAAACATTCATACAACTTCTCTGTAACGAAGACATGTTGGAACATTCATACAGCTTCTCTGTAACGAAGACATGTTGGAACATTCATACAGCTTTTCTGTAACGAAGTTATGTTGGAACATTCATACAGGTTCTCTGTAACGAAGACATGTTGGAACATTCATACAACTTTTCTGTAATGAAGACATGTTGAAACATTCATACAGCTTTTCTGTAACGAAGTTATGTTGGAACATTCATACAGGTTCTCTGTAACGAAGACATGTTGGAACATTCATACAGGTTCTCTGTAACGAAGACATGTTGGAACATTCATACAACTTCTCTGTAACGAAGACATGTTAGAACATTCATACAACTTCTCTGTAATGAAGACATGTTGGAACATTCATACAACGAAGACATGGTGGAACATTCATACAACTTCTCTGTAACGAAGACATGTTGGAACATTCATACAACTTCTCTGTAACGAAGACATGTTGGAACATTCATACAACTTCTCTGTAACGAAGACATGTTGGAACATTCATACAGCTTCTCTGTAACGAAGACATGGTGGAACATTCATACAGGTTCTCTGTAACGAAGACATGTTGGAACATTCATACAGGTTCTCTGTAACGAAGACATGTTGGAACATTCATACAACTTCTCTGTAATGAAGACATGTTGGAACATTCATACAGGTTCTCTGTAACGAAGACATGTTGGAACATTCATACAACTTCTCTGTAATGAAGACATGTTGGAACATTCATACAACTTCTCTGTAACGAAGACATGCTGGAACATTCATACAACTTCTCTGTAATGAAGACATGTTGGAACATTCATACAACTTCTCTGTAACGAAGACATGTTGGAACATTCATACAACTTCTCTGTAATGAAGGCATGAAGACAATCTGTAATGAAGACATGTTGGAACATTCATACAGGTTCTCTGTAATAAAGACATGGTGAAACATTCGTAATCATTGTAGGCCTCACACCTCTTCCATCAATGTCACTTTATTCTTCCATCACCTCGTCTATTCATCAAAGGCAACGGTGTAGCCTAGCGGTTAAAGCGTTCGCTCGTCATCGGTCAACCAATGTTCACCCATCAACACAGTTGTCCTTCATTCAACAATGTGTTCATTGATGTCATCAATAAATGTCATCAACCAAACATGTTCCTCCATCACAATCCTTCAACAAATGTCATCCATTCAACACATATGTTCATCCATCAAGTTCATCAATGCGGCCTTCATTCAACACAAAGGTTCATCATACAGTTCATTCCTTCATTCAACACATATGCATGCCCGCATGTTCATCCATCATCCAGGCCTTCATTCAACACATATGTTCATCCTTCAACACGTGTGTAGTGAAATTCAGGTAATCATCCAGGTGTAGTGTGAATTTCAATTGCACACTGCAACTCGCACAGCTGGCTGTTCTACCAGCAAGTGGTCTCCCCTCGTAGAAAATAGCGAAAAGTGACAACAAAATAATGATCGTTTGTCCAACAACTTATTTATTCGGGTGTCCAAAATTATGAAACAAACCATCAGAGTTGGCCTGTCGATTTCATGTGACCATAATTACATACTTATTCATGATATCAATCTGATAAATGTATACACAAATACTGAAGGCCTGTATACACTAACAGCTGCACACAGATTTAAATGTCAATCGCGCAGTGAACTAATCTTTGAAGCAGGCATAAAATACTTAACATCTTCTTCGTCAAATGTTCTGCACTTTTTCACAAGCTAATGCTGAGAAGAGGTGAGGTGAGGTGAAATTGGGTTTATCGTCGTGCTTGAGAATATTTCGCTCATATGACGACGTGCATGCGTGTACAAATGTATGTGTATGTGCGGCTGCTTGTACTAGCCCAGACTGAAGCTGGTTTTATAGTGCTAGCCAACTGAGATACCATGCCGCGGTGAAGCATGAATACCCCACTCAGACACATTATACTGACTCCGAGCCGACCAGTCCTTGTTGTACCCATTAATGCCGAGCGCCAGGCAGGGACCAACAAATACCATATTTTAACGTCTTTTGGTATGACGCGGTCGGGGATCGAACCCGCCACCTTCCGCTCTCCGGGCGGACGCTCTAACCACTACACCACGGAGGCGGTTTAATGCTGAGAAGAACGGAAATGGGTTTGAATGAGTGAGTTAAGTTGTACGCCGCTTTTAGCAATATCCTAGCAATATCACGACGGGGGACACCGGAAAAGGGCTTCACACATTGTACCCATGTTGGGAATCGAACACGGGTTTTCGGCTTGACGAGCGTACGCTTAAACCACTAGGCTACCCCACCGCCCCATATGTTTTTGAGCATTTCTAAGCAACGATGACACCAACAGTAATGGCGAAGAGGGATGGAGGAAGGGCTATCAACGTTTGATGAAAGATATCCAAGTCCATGATAACAAGTTACTTCAGACTTTCAAGGGAATAATTTTACCATGTTCTATCTAAAGCTTTAAAAAGACCACCGCATGACAAAATAAAGAACACATTACTATCAGCCTTGTAACGAGGTTCAATTTCGGTAAAACACAATCTGATAGAGTGCGGATATTAAAATTTTAGTACTCTTTTGCACTCGACCGGACATCAGATCCATATAGATATAGCACCCGTTAAGGTCCGGGTTAGAATTGGTCTCAGCAAACCATGCTTGTCGAAAGAGGCGACTAACGGCATCGGGTGGTCAATCGAGTCTGGACCAGCCAATCCAGCGATCAACAACACGAGCGTCGATCTACCCAATTGGACCTCAACATCCAATGCCGTTAGTCGCCTCTTACGACAAGTATGGGTTGTTGAAGACCAATTCTAAACCGGATATTCACGGGTGCTATATCTAAATGGATCTGAGGTGCACTCTAAATCATCACAAATGGCAATATGATTCGGATTCATATTTGACCACTAACTTTGACAAAAATAATTAAAAAATTGTTTGTTCATCTGTTTCTTTGTAGCTTTACGCCGCATTCAAGCTATATGCATGAGGGCGGCCATCAACAGATCCAGTCTGGACCAGACAATCCCGTGATTTACATCATGCGTATCGATCTTCTCAACTTGGATACGACAAGTGTCAACCACCCCAAGTCGCCTCTAACGATTTACATCATGCTTATGTTTGATTTGTTTGTGTGTGAACAGGCGATACAGCAAATAATTTTAATGAATATTGAAGGAGAAAATAAAAAATTGGATATTCATTTTAATACGCTGATGATAATAATAATGACTCATTGAAAAACACTGGTAACTGTATTATTGATATTGGAGGCCGAATACGTGATACGGATTACTTTGCACGACTAATATCAGTGTATGAAATAAGCCCAAAACCCAGCCATACATCAGGGCAGGTAACTTCAAAAACTTACCAGCCCAGAAGAGATTTAACCAGTCCTTCGGGCTGGCTAGCTGTAAAATTAGACCGTCCGGCAGAAATCTAGCCCGTCTCGGGCGGTCGGACGGGCCTTATTTTATACACTGCTAATATCAGTATGTGCTGATATGCATGTTGGGTTTGTTTAGGTCTTGGTTTTGTTTTTGAGTTGTTGTTTTTTTGTTTTTTCACATTTGCTAAAAAAGTGTTTTTGTTGAAATTTAGTACTGAATCATGTTCAGTGAAAACTTTAAATGATGGAGCCATGCTAGAGTGTTTAAACGAATCAGGTTGCATCACTCATTCCAATTCTATTTATAAAACTCAATGACAACTTCATTTTTTAAATAATAGCATCCCCTTGATTGCATTTGAGTTTCAATAATTTGGCTATTAGACTAGTCTCTGAAAATATGTAGTTTTGATGAAAATAAATAATTCAATTTAAATTGAAAAGGAACCTCAGTGAGATTGAACATTCAGAATTGTGGAAATCTAGACTGTTTCATTAAGGCATTAGTATTGCAGTACATTTAATGTGGTTTACGGACGGCGTGTGTGTGCGTGCGTGCGTCTGTGCGTGCGTGTTTGCGTGTGTGTGCGTGCATGCGTGCGGTTTTAAATCCCGGCATGAAATGAGACGCCTGAATATGTGTTTATACAGTAATCAGCGCTGTCTAATCAGGCGCCTGGCGAGGAGTGAGTGAGTGAATCTAGTTTTACGCCGATGTTAGCAATATTCCAGCAATATCCCAGCTGGGGTCACCAGAAATGGGCTTCACACATTGTACCCATGTTGTAGTCTTACCCGGGTATTCAGCGTAACGAGCGAACGCTTTAGGTACTAGGCTACCCCTCCACCCCTAACAGACTGTAAGACAATAAGTAGTTATAATTACGCCGAAACACAAATTATCCTGTACTTAGACATACAGTTACTTAAAAACAAAGTCAATCGAACTCACATGACGTAGTCATGTTTTTTCATTTATTTCAGAGAAGACTTTTTCCAGCAGAACCTCTGTTTTCATTGCATAATGTATATTTCACAGACACAAAGAAACATTTTTTTCAAATTGTCTTCTTATTTAATTGCACCAGGCATATACTAATACTTAGTATTATTACACTCGTCACGCCGAAGACCCGGGTTCGATTCCCCACACGGGCACAATGTGTTAAGCCCATTTCTGGTGTCCCCCGCCGTGATATTGCTGGAATATTGCTAAAAGCGGCGTAAAACTAAACTCAGTCAGTCAGTAGTATTATTACAAATAATA